GCTTTAAAGCTGACTTGCCTGCACGCCAAGCACCTGGGCCCACCACCAAAAAGAAGTACTTATCGTAAAGCAGTGTGGCCAAACTGACAAATTTTATTCTGTTCATAGAATCTGGTAATTTTGCCTGTGGCCGTGAACTTTGACCTCTTACTTGGTGAGACGAGGACGTATTGCGAGTGTCAGGAACAAGGAGTCTTGTAAAATACCTGACCTTTGTGGGTTTAAGTTCATTTTGGAATAGAACGTGTAACAAAGTAAGGAACTTCACAATTCGTGAGGGTCGCCCATCTTCAGTGTAGATCAATTCAGCGTGAGGGATGCAGAGAGAAGTGAAGAAGAAAAGTGTTTTGCAGATTAATTAAGTGACTGACAACAAATAACAAGAGAATAGAGAAATCTCGCTCTCGAGATGCAGAGAGACGTCGTCAGTTCGTGTATTCGGACTGAAGGGAGGGGGAGCTGAGTCTACGTGGAATGCAAAAGAAGAGGAGATGAGGAAAAGAGGAGGGAGTAGTATCTGCAAAGAGGAGAGAAGAGAAAACAAAATGGAGTGGAGGAGAATAAGGAGCAGAAGAAAGAAGAGGTCAGTGTGATCAATTTTGTTACGGAGTAACTTTGAGTGAACACTTGAAATGTGCAGGTAATAATTTGTGAAATTCACTTCTTCTTGTTATGGCTTACCTTTTTCTTACGATCTCTGCTGTCCGTCTCTCTCTCTTCATTTAGGTCGTTTTGGGATTTGCTGCGCACACAGAAAAAACAAGAATCATAAATTTTGTGGCTTTAGAGTCATAATCATACACAAATGAGATGGTAAAATCGACCTTAGAGGGCGGAACATATGGGAGCAGTTGGCATCTTTGCTGTAGATACAAAACCTTTTCTGATCTGGAGGAATTTATGACTGACGAGCTGCTTTCCTGGTGGCGTCTGACGCCTTGTGGGAAGGATATAAATTAAAAGCGCTTGAAAATAAATTGCTAAGAACCCAAGAGTTATGAAGTGGGGAATATAAGATATTATGTGCATCGCACAATGCAATATAATGCAGAAGTTATGGCTTACCTTTTTCTTACGATCTCTGCTGTCCGTCTCTCTCTCTTCATTTAGGTCGTTTTGGGATTTGCTGCGCACACAGAAAAAACAAGAAACATAAATTTTGTGGCTTTAGAGTCACAATCATACACAAATGAGATGGTAAAATCGACCTTAGAGGGCGGAACATATGGGAGCAGTTGGCATCTTTGCTGTAGATACAAAACCTTTTCTGATCTGGAGGAATTTATGACTGACGAGCTGCTTTCCTGGTGGCGTCTGACGCCTTGTGGGAAGGATATAAATTAAAAGCGCTTGAAAATAAATTGCTAAGAACCCAAGAGTTATGAAGTGGGGAATATAAGATATTATGTGCATCGCACAATGCAATATAATGCAGAACATTGCGACTTTCATGTCACGTGCCATTGGAAATGAAGTTAAATTTAGGAGTTTATTATGGGAAAAACAAGTGATGCACACAGAATTTGGCCTTTTGTAAGATCGAGAAGCAAATGGAGGGTAAAATTAAGATGGTACCAGACAGCTAGTTTTCTGGATTCAGGGATATACCCTGGATGGGTGGGTGGGATTAAACTGGCTTAGACTCTGTCTAGTATCTGATATTAGCAGTGTTGAACCTTTTTATGCTAGTACCATACACGTAGGTACTTAGAGGTTAGTTTACTTGACGTATGTTGGATCCAATTTTTGTAATTCTCTAAGTATCTTAAATTGCACCTAGTACGTAGCAAGGAAAAAATGCATATAATATTTTAATAAGAAAATCCGAAGATGCAGATGTAATTGTAATTAGGATGATGATTTTAAAACAAACTTACAGAGGAATGGCATGAAGATGTGACCTTGAATAAATTATTTCAGCATTAAATCAAATTATGGAATTTTGTGAATACAGTCGTGATACTTTTCAATGCATGATAACATGTAATTTATTGACCTTGTGAGTTTTGACTTTTCGACGAAAACTGTGCGATGGAATTGGTTTGGAAAAAGATAATATCGTGTAGAAGGAGAACAGGATTACAAAGGAAATGGATTGAATGCAAGACAAACCTCGATTTAGCTTTATCATCTCCCTCCTTCGATTCCGTAATTTCTTCGTCTGCAGCCTTGGTCTTCTCTGACTGCCGTTTCTCTCTGTCCTCATGCTTAAGGACGTGATCACCTGCAACATTGTTGCATGCATAAGAATATTTTTAAGAACGCAGTCAATGAATGTAAGACGAAGGCATGGAACAGAGAAAAACTTTTTATTAGTTTATTTGCATTCTGTTTAATGCAGACCGCACAGCATCAAACGGACTCAGGAGGATATGGATGCAAGCGACTGTGGACTGATTTAAGACACTCTACTGGCGTTCACCTGGATGGACTTTGGGAAATTTGATGAAGCAAGAATGAAAAGAATTTGGGAAGGAGAGAAAGCAAAACAGAGAACCACAAAGAAACATCTGACCTCTTGTCGTGCTTGGTCTGCAGGAAGCTTGCGGCTAAGAACTCGGGAGCCTGAATTGGTGGCTTAGCGACTCAGTCTCTGCCTTTCTGACTAATAGACGCAGTGACTCACCACTTGATTGGCTACCTCATTGACGCACAGTCACTCTCCAGGCTAAGTGGCTGATTTTATAACCCTTTAAATGACCGACTTCGTAACTCATAAAGTGGCCGGTTTAAACCTCGACTCAGTCATGACTGCGTCTCTATGTAAGTGATTACTGGAGATGGCAGCAGAAGGAACATTGAGGAAACAGGGAAGTCATTCAAGAATGACAATACTGTATCAGACATAATATAAATTCTCTGGAAAATGCCATGAATACTTTAGCTTACCATTGACTTCATCTTGTCCGTCGCCGGTTTCTTGCATGGGGCAGAATTCAATTATTTTAATGTTTTCTACTTCTACATCTTTGCCCGTCGATTTCAGAATCTTTTCATGAAGGTCAGTTAGGCTTTCGTGCAGTTTTATGAGTTTGTCCTGAAATAAAACCATGCACAATGATTCACTTTTTAGCTCCATTTTGCTATCAAATTCTTTGCTGTGTTACGTCCGTCTAATGGTTTTGGTGGTCATTTACTGGAGGTACTGGCACTCTGTTGATTAGACAAATCTGCTTCGCGTGTTGTAGATGTTGATGAGACTGAGATATACATTTCACATCATCCACTAGTTTTCTCTGTGATTAGCTATTTTATGGGACACGGATGATGTCTGATTTAAGGTCGAAGTAAGATAGGGATAAATTAGACCTGAATGGCACATAATAGTTTACCGAACAACTTTTAGGCTATTTTAAAGGCTTCTGACAATTGTCTGTTACCCTCGGGATAACTAAATTCTTGGACTTTGCCCATCGTCTGGTATTCAAAAGAACAGAGTTTTTCAGAAACTGGATATGTTTTTCCTCAATTTCCAAGTTTCGTAAACAAAATGTTGATACTTCCAGACATGAAACTCGCAGACGGAATGTGGACACACTGAGTAACCGAGGTTGTCATTTCATGCTCTTAGTACAAAGAATGCGTAATATGAAAAATAAGCATTTGCTTTGAGATTCTCACCAGTTTTTTAAGAAGGTCGGTTTGCAGTGAATCAAATTGATTCTTTGTGGTTGCGAACTGTGCTTCCAAGTTATTGTGCTCACTGTCATCCTCATTCTCTGAAGGGTGGTTTGTTGTGATAGGTCTAGTAGCAGAAGAAGCCATCCTGCTACTTCTCTGACTGTAAGGTGACCCAAAACGTGCACCTTGTGTTCCTGACTTTGTCGAGTTCCTCTTTGTACTGTTCGTTTTAAAATTCACACTACCACCATTGTTTTCCTGAAAGAATAGGATTATAGGTTATAGGAGAACCTCATTGCCCGATAACCAAAAGGACCAGTTATCTTTTCTCTTTGAATCAGCCAGTGACCACTTCCAGAGAAGTAAACGTGTACAAACCCCAAAAGATTTACCTGTTTATGAACAACATAAGTTAGAAATTCATACTACACATGTACACTGTGGTTACCGAGAAATGTGTTTCTTCCAGATAACTTGAAGGAACTGGAGTACAAACTACACTTGTGTGAGCTTAAAATAAAACTAATGCAGTCTCTGTCATTCCTAATGTATTGTTAGTCAAACAGTTTCTGTTTATCGTAGTTTTCTCCATGGGAATGGAGACTTATCCCGTAAGGACAGCTTCTGTTCATTGCAGTTTCCGCTAGAGACAGATTTAATGGTATTTTGACTAGAGGCTTATTGCACTGAAGTGTAATATGAGAGTCTGTCTAGGTTTTTGGTCGGTTCTGATGTTACTGTATCAGGTACATGCATTGAGAGGGAAGGAAACAAATGTCCTGAAAATAATCGACATGCAGGAATCAGTAGGAGAGGTCAAGGTCCAAAGTCGTGCTCTTGTGAACATGGTAATGGACCTTCAGGTACTTGATCAGCTGATCGCCTGTCGTCCTTTTAAGCTTGACTCCAGGCTTGGAGGTTAATTGAGTAAAAACTTACTCTGTACATTCTCGAATCTTCACCATTGCCGTTCACTCCGTTGTTACTCTTTGGTTCATACCTCGGAGGGGGCTCACGGCCTATGGAAGAACCCAAAATGCATTGCAGATCGCATTGTTTTAAACTTAAAACTGCACATATATTATGTGGGAGACATATTTAAAAATGAGTAATACAGGCTTTGTATGGAAGTGGAAAATTACCTCTTTGAGGGGGGGAACACAAATCGGGAATCAAAATACCAGGGAAATTTTGTGAGGGCGAGAGGTGAGTGAAACTGACAAAAACATGGCCAACCCTATCACAGTATTGTCGTATTTAATCGATTATCAGATTTATCCTTCGTCTAGTTGTAGGTTTTGATGAAAAGATACATGAAGTTTTAAAATGCGAAAAAGTGTCTTAAATCGAGGAAATGCTTTAAACGTGAAGTAAAGCTGTCCCACTATGCGCCATGTAGGCGCTTGGGGGGAGGTGGTCAGCATCACGCCCCCAGAAAATGCTGTAAATAGTGACGTAAAATAGGCCACGCCCAATTCCTTCTTACATTTTGCTAGGCAACATAAGATTTTGTAACAATGATATTCAGTGCTGTTTATTATTGTCACAGAACCTGCCTACCCCAGCAACGAGTAAACAATTGAAGTATGGATTTGGAAGGAAGCAGCGAGTGCAAGAGTGGATTAAAGTCAAATTAAAATTTGAGAGATAATGAACAGTTGTAACGTCTGTCTTCGTGTAACATCGAAGTTTTGCGAAAATTGACATGCTTTGGTCCATGGGTGGGCAATTATGTTTACTCGGAAGCCAGATGGTGCAATTTTTGAAACTAAAACAGCCCACGGGGACCTTGCTAGAAAAATTCTGTGCTTCAAAAAGTAACAAAGATATATCAATCGTTCGTGCTGGTTGAACATGGCTGATAAACCCATGTAAAAATACAAACGTAATGTTATTAATAATTATTTTGGCACTATCCTGAACTCTGATTGCTCGAATCATGAATTAAAAGTAATACGGAGAGCTGCAGATTAAATTTTAATCTAAATACAAGTAGGCTCATGTTTGGTGCTTCAGAATTGGTCCTTATTTAATAAAAAAATACGTCTAAAACACTGCAGATGTATTTATTTTTTTGAATCTGTGTGTGTTACAAGCCTCGGTATACGTTAATGTACTTACGAGCTTTCGACTTGTAGTTTGACATCCTCACACAGCTCTTATCACACTCCGTTTACCTACTGATTCTCAACAACGAATGACTTACTAACAAAATGTTTACCCACTGTTGCTAGGCAACATAAGATTTTGTAACAATGATATTCAGTGCTGTTTATTATTGTCACAGAACCTGCCTACCCCAGCAACGAGTAAACAATTGAAGTATGGATTTGGAAGGAAGCAGCGAGTGCAAGAGTGGGTTAAAGCCAAATTAAAATTTCAAAGCTTTAAAAGACACTCAACTGTTAATAAATATTCCGAGTGTTTATTCCAAGCCTTTCGTAAATGATTATGGTTCCATGACAAAAGCCCACATGAAAATTCCTGGCAGAAAAATCCCCACAGTCATAAATTCTCACATTTACAATACTATCAAGTAATAGACTCTTAATAAAGCGTTATGTGCATGCTATGAAGTGAAGTTCAAACTTATTGTACATATTAACCTAACCTTGGCCACCGTTGGCCAAATTTGTTTTGTGTAAAGTAAAAATAATGTGAGTATAAAGCATCACCACCCATGGGCGCAGAAGTGCGGGTGATGGCTGATGTGGAGTCGAAACTGCCAGAAGTAAGGATAAAGGATTCACAACGAAGTGTTGCAAAAATGTAAAAATTTCAGAATCATAGATTTAATATCATCAGATTTGATTTTGGGGAGTTTTCTTAAAATTTGTTAGCATCTCCAACTATTGGTTGTTGAATACTAGGTTAACCATTAGACCCCAAGGGCACAGTGATGTTGACAAGAACACTAATGTTCAAATTAGGAGAGAATAAAGTTCCATATGAACAGGATCCTTCCATCCTTTTCTCGGACTGGGACCTGTTCATATACGTTCTTGGCAGATGATCCACAAGTGGTTTGCCATTGCCTTCTTCTGTGTGTGAATGGAGTAATTGTTGGGATGCCACGGAGGAAAACTCCGTGTTGCCTAGACCACGGCCTTGCCCAATACAAGTTATAAATTCGGGCACCGCCGGGAATCGAACCCGAGACCCCAGGATTACAAGGCCAGCGTTCTAACCGGTAGACCACCGTGGCGTCATTCCTAATTTACCATATGTTAACTGAAATTAATCCACTACACTGGAAATTGTCCAAAATGCACACAAAAAAATAATTTGAAAAATATCACATTCAATTTTTTTTTCTTTCAAATATTTCAAAAATATTTGATTTTGTGCGCTTTTCAGGCAATTTCCAGCATTTTTTGATTTTTCGAAAATTTTGAAACATTTCAATATTTTTTTTCTAAACTCTCCCCTAGAGAT